ATAATGAAAAGCGAGATCAAAATGGATAGAGTATTGTTAATATAAACCAATTAATAAAAAATAGGCTATCTTATTTACCTAGAAGCTTTTTTAGATTATTTCTTTTATTATGTCCTAATCAAATCCATAAGGTCTTGATGTAAATTGTACAATCTAAATACGAAAAACCACAGTAGAACATCCAAAGGTTACATTATAAAATAAAATATGTAATCAATCTCATAAGAAGACGCAGGCTAATTAGCATCTTCTTGACTTAGTATTAACTTGAGGCCTTTGCAAGAATCAATTAAAAATGTAAACAGAAAAAGGAACATAAAAATGTCAAGAATCCAAAGGCCTAAAATTACCTTCTCACATATTGTGCTTAAGAGTTCAGGAGTGGCAGGTTTTTTCAGGTTTCTCTTTGAATTGGCTTCAGAGTCAACAGGGTTAATTTTGCCGTTCAGCGAGGTTAAATCATCGGTAGGACATCCGGAATCACCCACGGCCCGATCGTCCTTATCGATCTGTTCCTGATCATTGTCGCTTTCACGGTCTCCTGTAGGATGTAGATGTGATAATACAAAGTCGACGACTTCCTGACTAGTCATTGAATTCCATATTCCATCGCAAGCGATCACAAGAAATTCATCTTTTGAGGGTATCAGTTGTGTGACTGTGACATCAGGAACTGGAGTGATTATCTGATCGGCGAGGTGAAGATCTTCCCGTTGCTAAATTGAATGGATAACAATCCCAAATCAAGTGCTGAATGTCTTTAAATTCAAAATGATATTGTATTTAAAATAATACCAACTTTGGTGAATATAGAAGAAACCATCATTCATGCGCATATTCATATGTTCAAATTTGCCCATAACAAATCTCAAAGCGAAGAATTGCGATTAAAATAAAATTTAAGCACAACAAAAGATGAGTTAATGAGTTAACACTTTAATCTTTGATACTTTTGTAGTGACGTCTAATTACCCAAGACAGCCCTTTTAAGTAAACACTTCTGATAATCCAAGTGTGGACAAAGTATGCGAGCTGTATCGCGACTTACTATATCTGAACCCCCAATTAAGTGGTGAATATAAACCTCTATGCATTCACGCCTCTTAATTATGATGACATTGCGCTGAGGATACAATAGGAAGAGCTAGGATAAAATCGCAAAATAACGCCTGTCAATTTCATTGAAAGTTATATTCAGAAGTTATCCTATTTGTGATGGACAATTTAGGACCTGAGATATTTAGAAATATTACAATTTTAAGGAAATCATTAAAAAAAATATATATATCCTTAAAAGTAGATTTTTAAAAATTAAATACTAGACTGTATCCTGGATCATCAAGATGAACAAAAATTACCTTGTAAAAATGGTCCCCAATAGCTCTACTTAAATTCAATCCACCATTTACTCGACCGTCACTCGTGACCACACCACCAGCCGCGGTAATTCGATTACGTTCGCCTTCGTCGTCCGGCTTATGATCAACGGAAAGATCGATAGCGACACCGGCTCTGCAGAGCACAGCTCGGCTATCGCCAGCGTTGGCTATCACAAGGCTTACAGGCCCGGGAGAATCGGAGACGTTGTTTTTGAGATGTATAGGAGGAAGTATGAGACCAAGACAAGCTGTGGTGCCACTGTCAACCCCTGGTTCCCGTTGTAAATCGCTTCCAAATGCGGAACTACTTATACTCACAAGAGAATCATCGTCATCATCATCATCGTCATCATCATCGTCGTCATCATCATCATCGTCATCATCCTCTTCATCATCGTCGTCATCGTCTTCTTCATCGTCTTCCTCATCGTCATCATCACATTTATGCTCATCCTCATTGATGTCCGCTTCAGACTCTTTTTTATCCTCATCATGGATAGCACTTGCAATCAACTCCTCAGATTCATCGACGCCAGCAATGCGTGCTTGAGGTTCTGAAGAAAAAGATAGACCACTTAAAATAAAATGCAAGATTTAATCTGCAAGTAACACACGTTTAACAACTTTAACCATTAAAAAAATATTGATAAAATATATACAATGCTAGGATTACAAAAGCCCTCAGAAAGGAAATAAATTTTGCCTACGCAACTAGGACATAAGTCTATGATGGATAAGACATGACATCAGGGACAAGTGCTAAAATGCATAATGCGGATGAAGAATACGCAGAACTTATGTATAGCCAACTTTTAAACTATAGCAAGTCATCTTTAAATACATAACGAAGCAATATCAAATTTTGAGCAAGTTGTAAAGCGTGTAAGTTGCCAGAGACAAAATATTGTTAAATATCGTGTCGTTCTGAAAATGCAGCGAACACAGCTAAACCTAAGAAGCCTGTCATTTACCAGAATACAAACTCGTCGAACAGACAAGTAAAGTCAATCCCTCGACAAGCGTTCTGCTGAAAACGGTTACACAATTACTCCTCTTTCTGTTCTGGCCTATCTATCTACTCTTTACTCTTATCTCACTACCGCCCTATCACAACTTCTCACTTGTTTACATTCCAATAATTAAAATGTGTGCCCTTTTGTGGCAAACCGAGTGTGGCCTCATCACACTTGCTATTTACCCCAACCCCCTTCTTTTGGCAAACGTATAAATGAAGAAAACGGAAAAGAGATTCAAGACGGCACAGCTACAACCGACAGTGCCCATGCGGTACCTGGATGATTACTTCACACTTTGGACATATGGAAGAAAAAAACTAGATGAGTTTCTGAATTTTGTAAATAAGATTGATGCGAAAATCCAATTCACAATGGAAGTAGAGGAATGTGAGCGGTTGCCGTTCCTGGACGTTGAAGTGATTGGTTCTAATGGAACGCTCAAGAAGAAATTGTTCAGAAAGAAGTCCTATTCTGGAATAATACTCAATTTCAGCTCCCATCACAATTACAGGCTAAAGATTGGAGTGATGAGCAGCATGATTATCA